AGAATTTCACATTAATAAATGTCACCATATTTATCACTCGTGTAGTTTTAACATAAAGTGTGATAATTGTTAGATGTTTTTGTGTCTAAGTTAGACTTCTTTGGTAAATTTATAATAAAATGAAAGCCACTGTGCAATAAAGCTACATACTAAGTCATTATGCTTATAACCTTTGACCTGAAAGCCAGGATTCACACATGCTAGACTTACAGATAACATAAGGTCTATAACTCAAAACTTAATGTGAATTCTCTTTCAATCCTCTATCGATCAGTTTATTCATGTCACAATCTAAGCAATGGTCTCAGTAAGAGAACTTTGTATTCAAAATTAAACACCCAATTTTTTATATACAGGGACTAGCCCACTTAATATGTTAACAGTTTTATCTACAGAAGTGAGAAGTTTATATATTTCTACTAACTCAAATATAAATCACATTGGAAAGCAACAAAAAAATTTAATTATGGTACCAATTTGAATGTTTCGTGTTAATTCAGCTACAACAAAACAAACATCTAAGTCATGTTATTCTGTTAGGGGGAAGGAATCAAGTAATTTCATTCCCTGATATAACTTAAAATATACTTTTTTTTTATTAACTTGACCAAACTGAACTGTAATGTTAATACGAAGCAAGCTATAAATTGGGAATTGATGGGCCCGCACTAGGATATTTAGTTTTTGAAATGTTGCCATACTGAACAGATAAAAATGTGGTAAGTAATTCAAATCTATGATAAAACAAAAGTAAAAGAATTGCTGCTCACGGCTTTTTTATCTGGTTCAGTGCTGTCGTATCCTGTGGTCAGATCTCTAACACCTTGAATCACATAACTGTCCAAGTTATCTGGGTACTAGAGAAATAAGGAAGAAAGTCTACAACAAATAAAATATATTTCTTACACTATACCTGTAGGATGAGAACTGACATTTTTATATAAATAATTCACTTTAGACTTTTAGTTTCTCTCACTAATACATTTTTCTATTTTGGAAACTGAAGTTTTTTCCCTAATGTTTAACTTTTTGAATTACAGAAAGGATAAAAGCCACAGAAATCCCATTGTATGGTTTTGTGCTTAACAACAAACACAAATAAATTCTAGTTGTGAGCTAATCATTCTTAATTTATTTCCATGAGATATCAAAGTATACAATCTCTAGTTTTATAATTATTAAGTATACATTTCCACGAGATAAAGTATACAATCTCTAGTTTTATAATTATTAAGTATACATTTCCACGAGATAAAGTATAAAATCTCTAGTTTTATAATTATTAAGTATATATTTCCATGAGATATCAAAGTATACAATCTCTAGTTTTACAATTATTAAGTATATATTTTCAAGATCATAAGGACATCAATACATTTTACAAAACTTTACCTTCTAAATATTTAATTGTATTTTACCCTCTAGTTGGTGAAGAAAACAACGTTAAAAATTTCAGTTTTTTTTAAAATGTGAATAAAGACATGTTACATTTATTATTGTTCTTATAATAGCAGTGGGAAATGAATATTATAAATAAAACTGATAGTAGCTTTTATTACTAAGGCAATAATGGAATTCAAGTACAAAATATTTCATGTATCCTTTGTTTGATGTATATCGAAACTGTCGATATAATTACAAAATTCCAATTATACCAGCTTGCTAAAACTATTCATACCGTATTGAGCAAAGCCTACGTCATGTAATGTAGAGACTTAGGCTTAACGATACATCATTTTGTAGAGTTTTGCTTTACCCAGCCTATCTTGGACAACTTTGTACAGGAAATATCCAATAATATATAATCTTGCTCAGATATTAAGCATATTGTATTATTATTTTTCAATCAAATGAGATCAACATGAAAAGTATTTTCTGTTATTCATTGAAATTATTATTTAGCCCTACTCATAACTTTTGCTTTTTTAAATGCTGAGAATTATGAATTCTTTATCTTTACAACAGAGTACTCCTTATGAATTAAATTCACGATTTTACTGTCCAAGTGGTCTGATGTCCATTGACTAAATGTGTAAAGACTGTAAAATACTCTGTTGATAGTTAGAACATTATTTTCCAATGTTTGTTTGTAGTTTCATGTCCAGGTGGTCTCTTCAGAAATATTTAAATGTTCTTTAAGTTATAACATTTTATAGGTATTTACTTACTGTTTCTGGGCCATTGAAATTTCTGAGCCTATGAAACATTGCCTCAATAGTGGGTTGGTGATGACAAATAAAGTACGAGTTGTTTGACACGTGGTAACCATACCTGTTCAATGAAATAAGAAGTTCCACTATGAGCTACGATAAGATATAACCAGTGAAACAGAGAACTATATTATAATACTGAACTACACTTTCAAGTAATACATTACCATTAATTATCAATAAATACAAAAAAACTAAAAACAAGATATTTAACTTCAAAATGACCAACAAAAACCCAAAACTAAACACTTTTTTCATATTTAAAAACAAGATATTTAACTTCAAAATGACCAACAAAAACCCAAAAACTAAACACTTTTTCATATTTAAAAACAAGATATTTAACTTCAAAATGACCAACAAAACCCAAAACTAAACACTTTTTTCATATTTAAAAATAAGATATTTAACTTCAAAATGACCAACAAAACCCAAAACTAAACACTTTTTTCATATTTAAAAACAAGATATTTAACTTCAAAATGACCAACAAAACCCAAAACTAAACACTTTTTCTCACTATTTTTAACAGAGCAAAGAATGGAGATATTTAACCAATAAAGTTTTTGATTGAAATAATATCAGTTAGGCCCAACCTACTCATTGTAAATAAAGTCCAGGTGTTGACGTAGAGATTTTCCTTGGGTCTCTAAGTAAGCTGCTAGTTGTGCCAGCTGCATGGCAGCTCCCACTCCATCTTTGTCAAGCACGGTGGTTCCACACATGTACCCTGCACAGCAACATAAAAATATGTATATCTTAGGGGAATGTAACAGAGAACTCAGGAACAGTATGTATATCTTAGGGGAATGTAACAGAGAACTCAGGAACGGTATGTATATCTTAGGGGAATGT